AATTGAGAAAGCTTCCTGGAGAGGTGGCGAAACGTCTTCAAATCTTGAAAACCAAGTCCAGTGGATATTTTTTGAATTTTATGGAATGACTTTGACCTGGATGACTGAGAACCTTCATCACCACATTTACTCATATCTTTGCAAAGATAGAACAGTTCATCCTACAGTCCATACGCATGGCATTCTGCCCTGTTCTGCAGGAGCAGCGTTCATTATCCCTTACTTACAACAATGGAAAAGTAGTCAGACCAGACACTGGTTAAACAGTAATATGTTATGAATAAACCTTGAGAAGGAATCTGGTTTGTTGTGGGAAGAAGCTACGTCTGGTCTACAAACACTGTCCCACAGAGAATGGTGTGGCCTTTAAGGTGAAACAGACTGAGTGAAAAATTTTATAGAGAGTAAATAGGATAAATTAATATATAATAGAAGATAAATCTAAATTTTCCGACAACACAGAACATCTACATGAGGGAAGTTGCAGAGGCAGGAGAGAGCCAACAAAAATTTCAGGTGATGTATTTGATTAAATTATCACAGAGTTACTAATTTATGAAGACAAATATTTTTTCTTACCCTGTAAAATGTGTAGTTTAGGTTTAAAAAGTGCTTATAATGGGTACTACCATAATGTTAAATTTGGGGGGTTAGACACATGGCAGATTGTTAACCTTGGTAAATTTCATTTCACAGATGCATGTTATACTAAACCAAATTTTTCTTCTTATTATTTGCTTCTACAGGAACAGGCTTAAGCTGAGACAGAAGAGCCTAATGAGATGCCAGTAAAGGACAACACTTGTGTGAATATCAACAAGCAAGACTTCACTGCTAGTCCGCCCACAAAGAGAGCAAGGCAGTCATGAGGTCTAGCAGATCTTCTGGGTCAAACATACAGTACAGGTACTGCAGCGTACAATAAAGGGGGGGCAGACGACGATGTGCAGTCCCCCAGCCTAACAGAGAAAGACCTCTCTGACAGGTAGGACCTAAACCATTGCAGAGCAGTCCCCCCTGACACCCACCCAGTCCCTCAGTTGGCCTATAAGAACTATGTGGTCAACGGTATCAAAAGCAGCAGTAAGATCTAAAAGCACTAAAATGGCGGAACTACCAGAATCAGTTGTTAAAAACAAGTCATTAAAAACCTTTAAGTGTGCTAATTCAGTACTGTGAAATTTTTGTACCCTGACTGAAAAAGATCCAAAATGCCACTTTGTCTAAAAAAGGTTGCACCAGTGCCAAGAAACATTTCTCTAAAATCTCTGAAACAAGCGGCAATTTGGAAATTGTTCGATAATTTAAAAGATTTATGGGAACCAAACTAAGGTTTCTTTATCTGTGGTTCAACTGCCCCTTTTTTGCAGAAAGAAGGCAAAGTTCCAGAAGTCAGACTACTGTTAATTATCTCACCAACAACAGTGCTAAATGTGACCCAAACGTCCATAAAAAAGCGAAGTGGGACTGGATCAGTGGAACAGGAGGACGGCTTTAGCTTTAAAACAATTTCTGTTAAAACAGCTGGAGAGATAGACTGAAGCTGCGGAAAGACAAATGAGCAGCAATTTACCATGGAGGGACTCATAATAAAAGCTGATATATCAGTCCTGATAGTATCCACCTTTTTGATAAAAAATTGAAGGAATTTACTACAAGTTTTACCTGTGAATTCCAGTGAAGTGGACAGAATGGGATTAAAAACAATCGTTTTAAACAGAATATGAAGCTTGCTGAGATTATTTAAGATAAGATCAGAAAAATACTTGTTTCTTTCAACCCTAACCACCCTCTGGTACTTTTTCCAGCTTTCTTTAAGAATCTGGTATGAGACCTCCAGGCGGTCTTTTTGTCACTTTCGCTCCGCCTTCCGGCAGTTGCACCGAGGTGCACGCATATTGTCATTGAGCAATTGATCATGCTTTGGCATGGGATGCATAATTTAACATGGAGCATAATGTCCAAAACTTTGGAGCATTCTGAAATAAAAGAGTTTATCAAATGCTCTGTGCCAAATGCAGCAGAATTTAACAGATTCTGTGCAGAAAGTATTATTTATAAAGTATTACTTCAAGAAGTGGCAATGTCAGATTTCATAAGCCAACCATGATGAATTTTCATGTCAATAGCCATACTAAGGTCAAAAATTACTGGGGCATGGTCAGAGAACACTGCATCCTCAACAATAACATTAACATTTTTAACGAGAACGTGTCCAAAGTGTGCCCAAGGACATGCATGCTGCAAGTGACATGTCAAATTAAAAGCCTCAATCAGATCTAAAAACTCTGT